CTGCATTTTGACCATTAATTTGAGGATGGGAGGGTGATTAACATTGATTTAATCGATCGCGCATTATATATTTTAATGGATGAACCATTGTCAGTATGTTTTATTAAGGTGGGCATGAATCTTCTTTTTGTCGATCTTTCATGGCGCCGGCCAATCGCTTTCCTTAGATAGATTAATTCTAACTGATTATAGAACTTGCGCGAGTCGCTTTCTGTTGGTTTTGTTATCTATCTACCGACTCTTCGCTGCTTATTTGTTGCTATTTATTATTGATTAGGGTTTCTTACTGTAACTGCTACGGTTTTCAATTTAAGGCGTGTATTCGAGCGTAAAGAAGGATTCGTTGGATGTGTGTGACTGATGAGGTGGAAAATGAATTTCTATTCGATAATAGATCAATTATTTGTAATAATATTAATTATACAAGCGATCGAGTCGAAGAAGGTGAGCAGGGTCCTATTTTTGTAAGGTTGATCATCAAAGAGAAAGGTGTGGTGCCGTGGCACGCGATATGTAGGGCGGCGAAATAAAGGGACGGACAAAGTCGGTGTGGAGTTTCGATTGTCATGGGGGCCGGAGATGCAGTGGCGGTAATGAATGTAAAGTAGGAGAATCCGTCATCGCAAACACGAATTAATTAGATTTGTTCTCAGGGATGGGAAGGAAGATGGGTCGAGATTTGGTTCCTTGATTTAACGTACGTGTGCCAAAACTGGACCACCGCGCTTACTCCGACTAGAGGAATAGCTATAGAGCTGGGCTTAGACCAGCATTAGAGTTGATTTAGAAAGGATCGATGGAGCAGCTCGATAGAATCAGTCCTTTACTTTAATGAAGCTGGTATTTCCCAGGGTGGGATGTCCGGTACTGTTTCGAGAAAGAGGGAGGAGTGTGGAAACGCAATACAACGGTCCATATTCCACCCAAAGCTTTCGAAGGCCTGGGTGCGCCTTAGGTCGACCCAGAGGGGTATGGCTTGGCCTATCAATCGAATGGAAAAAGCTGAAGATGCAGCTCACAAATTTTTCTTCAATAACAATAACAAAGCAAGTGATTCGTGATTGAAGAAGGAGGGAAGTTACAGCGGAGGAATTTCAGGTTACGCAAAATAGGGAATTGGTCTAACAATTAGCCCTCTCAGGTATCACTGCGTTGATGCGGATTAGAGTGCGTCGACCAACACACACACATTCCGTATATAGATTATTATAGGCAGAAGATCATCGCCACATCTAAATAAGATTGTAATTAAGATCGCCTATCGTTTGTTTAAATATTGATAATCAATATTTTAGTTAGCAGATACTTGAAAGAACTGCCAACATATATAAACTCAATGCTATCTGAATATGGATATCATATGATTCGACGATCGGAATATCATTTGAATATGGACACTATCTGAATATCGAGTTATTATCTAAATCCCTTCAATCATATCTCTAATTATTGATTCTAGTTCACTTTATTAGTGAAGGCTTCTGGATCTTTCAATTTTAACTTCTTGTGTTTTAATGGCTTTACTAGTATTTATCCCGTGCTAAGCACGACATGCCCTTACAAATTATTTTTCGTGGGCAAATATTTCCCCCACATCATATTTTTGATGGTTTGTCAGCCTGAAATATATCTTAAAAATCTATCTTATACTTTGATATACATGGTTTCATATGCCCTAAAAATTAATTATTAATTATTTAAGAACTATGTTAGATATTATGTTCAATTTTGCTAATATTTAAATGCTAGTAATGATATAAGAATACATTATTTATAGGAATATTAGTCTAATATCTACTATTTCATATATAACACATTGAGGCATATGGCAGCATCAGATATCAATAGCCAACATAACTGCCATTTCAAGCTTTTATGTACAATAATTGAAGCAGATATTTCACAGCTAAGTTTATATTTGATAAGTTCATTTAGCTACTAAACAAAGAAATTTTCAGCTGTTCGCGCTTATAAAGTCGAATTAGCAATCTAACCCAAAAAATATGTTCCGATTGCGGTAGTTCATTGACAATTCGATTACGATAACTTTTTATAGAGATTTAACCCAAAAATGTATGTTTGATTCTAATAATGCCATGCTTATATATGCGTTTGCTGTATAATCCATGAAAAACAATGAGAAAGTTATAAAGTACTATGCTACAGATCTATCATCCAAGGAAGCTCAACTCAGAGAATAAATTTAAGACAAGCATTTGTCCTCGTGCATTAAGCGATTTGGCCTAATTGTGGCCAGTATCAGCATAAAAAAAAGGAGTTGATGAATTTTTTTTTGCTTTTTTCATTAAGAGGCAGGTAGTGGTACATGCTACATCTACAAATGCATAATTCACCTACTATGCTGCTCCAACTTCCACAACTTTCTCAAATAACCTGTAGAATAAATGACTTATCGCGTCAAGACAGTCATATTACATTAGAGAAAACTTTACCATTAACTTTTGGCCAAGACTTCTTTTCCAATCGTAAAATGAATACAACCATTCAATTGGAAAAGAATTGGAATCAGCAACAACTTGCAAAGCGGCATAATTTGGCCAACCTACAAATAGTGTCTTTTATCTATGTTTAATTCGACATATTGAAGAATCCTTTACCAAAAAAATTTGGGTCCTTTAATTATAATAGCGAAAAGAGGGGAGAAACCTTTTTAAGTGTATTACGCTCATTTGATGCAGCGACTGTAAATGCTTTCACAGCTCTGCGCTTTGACCAAAGTTGCAGCACACTGCAGCAGGGGATGAATTCTGGCCTTTGGAAAAAAAAATAATCAATGAAAACACATGAAAATCAGATCCATCAGTGTTAGTGTTATCTAGCTGGGTAATTAATTTCATATCACGACCACCAGAGACAAAGTGACTTAATATAGATAGAAAACTAAGTGAATTATAACATATGGTCATAAAATCGATATAGGTTTATAATGCTCTTTCAGCTCATAGCTGTTCAGTTCAATACTAAGACACTTCAATCTATGAGGTTTGCAAGGAGTCGCTGCAAGATTAAATTTTACAAAAAAAAAGCACCTAGGTATCAGCCATTCGCATATAAATGGATTTTCTTAGTGAATGGGTGATAGGCAGCACACAAGGATGATACAAAATGCCAGCACACGCCACCCTAATGTATCATTAACGCATTGTGGTTCTAGTATTGCAATCAGAACAATACTGCACTTACAGTAGAAGAGGATTCGCCGTGGAAAAAAAATTATATCCAAAACGCTGATCGAGTAGTACGCATCGCTTTAATTGGCAATTTGCCTTTTGCTTCAAAGAATCATACAATCTCCACCATCATAAGCCGCTTGCTAACAATGCAATCCAGACCAAGCCTCGGCTATTGCATTTGTAGCAAAGAGTTGGCCGAGCACCAACAAATTGGTGAGATATAATGACGCTAAAGATGTAAAAGAATCTATAGGAAAGATGGGACATATTGGGGCAATGGACAATACATCTGAAGTAAGCAAACTTTTGCAGCGCCTTTATCAGTGAAGAAATACTTTAAACCATCTTCAAGCTGCATGAGATAGAAAGTAGTCATAAAAAGGTAGAATGCAAATATTAAAATAACATGATGACAAAGGAGCTCCAACAAAGAATAATAAGTTGCTTCTCGAATTAACCAGAAATGTCTGCAGTAGTCCCGAAAGCAATTAAAACTTTCACCAACTATAAGCTGAAGGTTCTAAAATGCGAATGCATTTCATGCAACAGAAACAAATAGCTCAGCTAAGAGAGAAACTTTGCACTCTTTAATAGAGATAACCTGGTATACTTGTTGGTATACGTGCTGTGGTTAATCTTCTATGCTCTTCTTCAGTAGTTTGATTGTTTCCAAGGACCATAAAAATGAATAAAATTATAAAAAAAATAAAACCAAAGATAAACAAACTAAACCTGAGGACCAAATGACTGCAATATCGATGAAAGTGCGATTAGAGTGAGAATTACCATAGATCGCAGAGATTGTAAAGCCTGAGGAACTCCTTCGATGAGCTGTATCTTTCAAATGACCCGCTAAAAAAGATTTATTTTTAAAAATAAAAAGAAACACAGACCCTATCGTATCATTGACGTTAGAGGGGGGGGGGGAGAAAGAGACAATCGCAATCGAAGAGGAAGACGTAGACGGATGCAGTGAGATACAGTTCGTGAGATGCCTTTCTGCATTTGCTATATATACTTACAAAACTGTCATTTGTGGGCTGAGGAAGTTGCAATCTTTAAATTGAAGAGGGCATTGAAGCTCTCAACACTCATCTAGCTTCAAATACTTACCTTGTGGGTCATTCAGTGACGTTGGCCGATATCGTCATGACATGCAACTTGTATCATGGATTTTCTCAGATTATGATAAAGAGCTTCACATCACAATTTCCCATGTAGAAAGATACTTCTGGACTCTTGTTAATCAGCCAAACTTTAGCAAGGTAATGGGCGAGGTGAAGCAGGCAGAGTCTGTTCCTCCTGTTTCATCAGCGAAGAAGCCTGCACAGGCTGCACAGGCCAAGGAGTCAATGCCCAAGGAAGCCAAGAAAGAGGTCAAGAAGGAGCCTGCAAAGGAGGAAGAGGAGGCACCAAAACCGAAGCCCAAAAATTCACTTGATCTCTTGCCTCCTAGCAAGATGATATTGGATGAGTGGAAGAGGCTGTACTCTAACACTAAGACCAACTTCCGTGAAGTCGCCATTAAAGGTACTTTCCTCTTTATTATATTTTCGGATTTGATAAGTTGCTTTATTGAATAATGGTAAATTTCAAAACAAAAACCTTTGTAAGAATAACAGTAAACCACCATTTGGTTTTAAAGGGGTGGTGAGGTTTTAAAACCGATACTTTACACCAGTCCCCTGAGTTTTCAATGTTTAGTAAAATAACATGACCTTTGGATTTGTAGGGTTAATTTTTAATGTAGTAATCATGTTTAAATTAAAAGACCACTTTCGTCTTCCTTAACATTGAGGCCTCTGAGGGAGGTTTTGCTGTAAGTGATTGTCTTTGCTTGGCTTATACTCGGCTGCACAATAAATTATATTTAGTTATCCCTGAATAGGATATAAGAATTGTAAACAATATATAGCTTATATTGTACATACAAACAATGATATCTTGATGGTAAAATGGGGATTTTAGTCATTGTTTTTTTTCACGGTTAAGTTTGCTATCAGAATAAACAAACCATAACAAAAGTAAGAGTCTAAGAGAAAGTAAGAGAATGTGCTTCCAATGCTTGCAGTTACTAATAGTAAAGAAACATAAACCAAATACATTACATATATTACTCTCTTATAACTTTGATATATAACTAAGATTGAACGACCACAATGTTCAAATTATGCTTAAATTTTATTCAATGTAAGAAATAAAAACTTTGATATATAACTAAGATTGGAAGACCACAATGTTCAAATTATGCTTAAGAAATAAAAGAACGCTACAATGTCTTTCATTTCTAATGCAATGAAAGAATTCTTCTGTTATTCAAACAATTATCAGGATGTAAACCAAATAGTTAGTAAATCCCCACAGTTATAGAATGTAAAAAGCAATGATAAAAACAGAAAAGCTTAAAGCTTAAGATCTACTGACCTTCATAGTTAATGCCAGAAGGTGAAAGAGTTGCAGAGGAGAGTTGCAAGAAAGCCAATATCGCCATCCAAAAGAGGGAAAATTTTGTTTCCATGTTAGATTATTGCCACTACAATTTCTGCTATATTATCACCACCACTGATTTCTTACGCCCATCTTCACACAAAGTTCCTATGAACAAACCCATTTCAGCAGGAAAATCCCAAGGTTAACTCTTGTCCATTTCATAATTTGAAAAAGAAACAAAAGCCCATATACCAAAATCTCTTCAGAAGCAATCGACACCAAATATCTTCACCCTAGAGCATCAAGACTCAAAAACCCAGATGACAAGTGGGGGCGCTGGAGCATAAACAATGAGAAAAGGAACAACCTTTTAGGCTAAACTCCACCCAAAAGACTCTGAAAAATTGAAACTCAGATGCAAAATCCAAACACTGCTCCAAAAACAGAGAAGAGGCAGCCCTACTACCTACAGAATTCTGTAGTTTGATTGAGTGAAGCAGCTGAAATCTTAATTACAGTCAAATTTCCATTGGCATTCTATACCCAAGAAGAAATCTTAGGTGAAAAAGCAACTTTTTTTCTCCCAAGATCCTCTCTTTTCGCCTCTTTAATCAATTTCTTAAATTTAAAAAAGAAGAGAACTTAAGAAAATGAGCTCTGTAAGTATTTGCCCGCTATATTCATATTATAGTTTAAGAATTTAAGTTAGAGCAACTCCAAAAGAAATCATCAATGTCATAGTACAATACACATAATATGTTATAATGGCTTTTGGATCAATATAGATATAAGACAATTTGGGTAAAGAATAAAATTTTGATACCTCTACATTCTTTATTAGGTAAAATCAAGATAACCCTACAATTTTTCATTAAACACTTCACATGCATAGATAAAGATTATATCTTTCTCAACATTTCCCCCTAATCCATTCAAAAAAATCCAATCTTTTTTCAACAGATCAATGTGCACACATCAATGGCAGCAACCAAACCAAGTAAACTCGAAATAATACCTCAAAAATAAAAAATAAAAAATAAAAAAACACAAAAAATTTACCTGCTCGATCATCTTATGCTTGAGGACTTGACTCTTGTCAAAAATCTTAAAAGACCACTCAGGTAAAGAAAAACTTAATTAAGATGTCATAGATATCATCTCTTAACTGTGTTAGCTTACAGAATTTACCGCACATTCTACCAATATGGCCATTTCACCCAATAAATTCTTTTTTGAAAAAAGAGAGAAGGAAAACACTTACCGAATATTCAAACTCCTGCAATTCGAAAGCTTCAAAATTCGAAGATTCTGAAATCCCCCCAATTAAGCCATCCACTCAGCATCCACGATGCTCTCCCCACTCAAATCAACCTCTTCAACGCAAAACTGGAAAAACCTGAACAAAATAAAAAAATCACAAATTCTAACAAAAAAGGTCCAAAATAAAAAAGTTAGGGTTAGGGTTTTGAACGGACTTGAGGAGGGATGTGTAGAGGAGGTGGCGGTGGCGGAGGCGGCGAAAGAGGGCGTCGGCGAGGTGGGAGGGGAGGCGCTCCAGGGTTCGATGCAGAGATCTGAGTTGGATTGCATCTGGGATCTGAGGTCTCGTTGCTCTCCCCTCTTCGCTTCGCGATCGGAGATGGGAGGAAAAGATGGGATCTGTATAGAGAGAGAGGGCAGAGATCTGGTTCGTTTCCCCCCTTTTTCTTTTTGCGGTTGGAAAGAAGAAGAGAAGTCGACGTGGGTTTTTATTTGAGAGTGGAGGGAGACATCGTGTGGAGTGGAGAGTGGAATGATAGGAAAATGGACGGTTGTGGGGAAATGATAGAAAAATACGTGGATATTAAAAAAATTTACTGTTCACATTTAGGTTTTCCTTTAGTTATAAAGGAAAGTAGATAGGACTTTATGAGAATTTGATAGGATTAGATGTCTATCATGATTAGAAGATTGAGTCTCATCATGATAAGAAGTTTGAATCCTATTCTAATTAGGAAATTAGGCAAATAATGTTCTAGTTTTTCAATAAGTAATCTTCTATCGTTAGAGGAAAAACCAAGAAGGAGAAAAGGAGAGAGCCTATATTCTTGTAATCTAAGGTTAACGAAGGGCATAGCCTGATTCGAGAATAGAATGCAAGAGGCGAGGGTTTCGAAGAAGTCTTTGTCCATCCAAAAGATTTTAAGGAGAGTGCTTTAGAGAGAATATAAGAGCTGGTAATATATGTGAGGTTGAGAGATCAAGAGACGAGAGTTGGGTGGTTTCTCCTATAGTTCTCCCTGATACATAATGGATTTATTGTATTGTCACCCCTTGGATATAATTCGAAGTTGATCGACCAAATAACGTAAATCTTGTCGTGTTCTTTCGTCTTATTTTGGTTGTTTTCATCTTGCATGTGTATTGTTGATTAGCTTCCGAGTTGTGCATGTCTTGGTGGAGCTAGAAGACTTAAAAACCCTAACAGCAATAAGTGATAACCTTGAGAGGGTGAGGGTGAGATCTTGAGTCCCAACCCGTTAATCCCTAATGCATGGAATAGCTATCAATCAATAAAGCTTGTTAAAACCTCCATTATACGATCCCCGGTCTACGTTGGAATAAGCCTTCATAACCATGTTAATTTGGTGAAGCAGAAAAAAAAAAAAAAAAAAAAAAAAAGATGTTCATGATATCGCGTGATTATAAAAGTAAGCCGTTGAGTAAACCAAAGACACGTGGCAGAGACACGGCCCTCATGTTCGCTACTGCGGTGATGCCTCAAAACCGGGCCTAAGAGCGTTGTATACACAGAATCAATACAGCGCGCCGCTGTGGCCCACCAGTCTGTAAGACGAATTTGCCGTTGCCAATGCAGCGCCAACCCTGCGCCCGCTGTATTGCACAGGCGCGTCAACACCCTGCTGCTCCAATCGGCGATGTCATGCATCCGAAGTGCCACTAGCCTGTCATCATGCGGAACCCTAGAACTGCCCGCCCCCAGCCACCACCATCGCTGCAGCAAATGCAACCCCAACGCAATCACATTCTGATCAAGCAACCGCTAGACGTGACCACCGACATATGTGTTCTTCTTAGCCGCCCCGCATCTCGACTGCAGCCGCTGCAATCTAAACTGAGAGCTCTTACCCTTCTCAGCTGCGTGCCCATCGTACGCCCTCAGCAGGCACCAAACACCTACCACCTGTTTGTAGTAATGACTCAACCAATCCCCTACCACATTCTCAGCCACGTGAAACCCGAGATCGCTGCTAATTGACGTCCTCGATGCCCACGTGCCCTCACCTATCACCGATTGCTGCCTGGCCACCAAGCTCCTCTGCGACCTTCGATGGCTGCTCAATGCCCGCTGATAATGATGCACAAAAGGCATTCGATGGAATACTCGAGCAACATTTCTGTCCCATCTCCTTTGCCAACATTTGACCAATGCACGAAAGCTATTTGACAAAATGCCCGAGTGGCATTTCTCACTACTCCGGCGACGCTTTCCTCGACGAGTAAGCCCGGCCACACTTTCTGTCGGCCAGCACCCTGATCACGCTTTCCCCTTGCCACACTTTACCCCCGACCATGCATTCTCTCGGCCAGCAGCCCCAACCATGCTTTCAGCCAACCAGCACTCTCAGCCACGCTTTCCGTTGGCCAGCACCCACGGCCGAAGATCCCTGGCCAAGCTCCCTTCGGCCAATTACCCCCCAGCAAAGTTTTCTCCATCCAAGCTCTCACAGGACAGCACCACAACATTACCTATCTGCAAGCAAATCATCATGTGCTCCTTCTCGGCAAACTGCCTTTGGAATTCTAATACAGTTTCAGAGGACGTGTTAAATAATACAGTTGGACGTGTTAAACAATATAATTAAATTATTTTATCTTGTCTTATTTTAGATCCACATCGCTTAGGTTATTTGAACTTTTTAGTATTTAAATACTTCAGTAGAATGAATAATACAATCAACTTCTATCAAATTCCCTCAATTACTTATGAGGACTAAGTAGTATTTTGATTTCATATTAAACTTCGAATGCAGGAACAGGTTTCGTGAAGAGAAACCTAGAAATTTGGCATGCAGCTTTGGTGCCGTCACTTTCACTACATAATGGTGGCTGCGTTTCGGATGGCAGCTCGGCTTACCATCAATAAGAACCAGAATGATGCGTAGCTGAACGGAGAATAATCCAACATGAAAGAGTATTAGGTAGGATAAACCAATTAACCGAAGTTAAATGAATATAAAAGGCCATCGAAATAAGAGAAATCTTGTATTATCTTCTTTTTTGCGAGGGAAGCGGAGACGTAGGTCGGAAGGACCGAACTCCGTGATCATTTTCTTGTGTTTGAGTTTGAATTTGGCGCATTTATTCTTGTATATTTTTATATTGTCATTGTTGCATGTTTATATCGCCCTTGTTTAAATTGCATATTCTTACTCATATATCTTGTTGTATATCATAATTGCTAGGATATTGTTAATTAGTTTTTAATTGGCATTAATATCGGATTAGATTAGTATAAAACCTATTCCCCCCAGGTGTTTTCAAGCTTCTCCATGTAGCTCATTCAATGGAAATTCTCTTAGGAGATTGCTGACCACTCAACATCATCTTTTACAGAAGGCACAACTTAAAACTATGACTACATAGATGATTGTGCTCGCCGTCTTCTTTTTGAATTTGCAGAAGACAACAATCAAAAACTACAACACCATCCAAGGTAAATATGAATTTTCCGATCAATCGACGCTCATCAATGAACAAAATACTTCTTAGCTTGTGTTTTTATGAACAAAAGGGGTTTTGGAGGAGCATAGACTGAAGGATATTTAGGTGATTATGTGTAAAACCCTGTAAATTTAAAATTAATATGGAAAATAATATTAAATGAGGTTATTATGATTAATACTATTTTTGGATGAATGAGTATGTTTAAAATCGATTTGAGATCGATTAAATACACACACACGTGTGTGTGTGTGTGTGTATAAATGTGTAGGAACATGAGAAAATGTCAGCTGAAAACATGCATGGTCGGTCGACCGACCCAAGTAATCGGTCGACCGATGGACACTGATCAGTCGACCGATGATGCACAGAAACGAGTTTTCAGGTCGGGTTAGATTTTGGCCCATTTGATCTCTCTCTCTCACACACACACACACACACACATGATATAAATCAGACTTTTCTCCTCATTTCTTCTGTAATTCCCACGTAAACAACAGCCACCCCCTTTCAAAAACCCTAGAGATTTCTCTTGTGAATTTGGAGAGCTTTGAGGAGCAAAAACCTAGAGGAGGGCGAGATCTACGGCGTTTGGTGAAGGAGGATCGTGTTTCTCACATGTTTGGGAGTTCAGCATAAAATTTCTAAGGCGAGTTACATCTCCTCCAAACCCATCCCTTGTTTTCTTGGTTTTATTGGATTTTTAAACCTATTTTTTGTGTAAAGATCACACATTTAAGCTACATGACATAAAGATCTAATCTTTATGTTTTAAAAGGTTACAAAACAGATTCTTTGTTTTGGGTTTAAGTTTTGAAATTTATCTAACATGAGATTTTTACTAAGTTGATTATTTCCATGATGATTCTTACAAACATGATCATGCTAGGTTGTTAGAATCCCCTCAAATTGATAATTGTGATTTCATATAGTAGAATAAACCCCCACTATGTTAAACACGAGATTTATACATGTTTATACATCCTATGTTAACGATTCACAAGTTCTTTTGAGAAAAATTGGTTTATGTTCCTAAAATCACGTTTCTGTTTCTTGTACCTTGATCAGTCGATCAACCCAAAGAATCGGTTGACCGATGTACCCTGATCGGTCGACCAACCCAAAGAATCGGTCGACCGATATTCCTTGAGAACTACTTGTTTTTCCCACTGGTCAGTCGACCGAAACATGGAGTCAGTCGACCGATCAAGGCTGAAATTCTTGTGCATGTGGTGCACGTTCCGTCGATCGACTATTAGGTTAGGTCAGTCGATTGATGTAGATTGATTTGCATACATTGTTTCCTTTCACGCGTGTTTGGTCGCACACATGAAGTATGGGCTATTCGTTGATACACGTGTGATGTTTACGAGAGAGCACGTATTGGATTTTGAGCACGCACGAGCTTTTGGAGGTGTGTAATTTAATCTTTGAGTTTGTCATGATAGAGAGTGACGTATGTTTCATTTTTACAGTAGTTTTGGATGCTTGAGTGGGGTTAGTTGGTACACCGTAATGAGATCGCGGATTGACTACACTCAGAGTGAGTCAGTTGGTATACTTCAATGAGACCATAGTAGACTACACTCTGCTATGCATCATTGTGTTCCGGATTAGGCTGATATGCCTATAATCCGCAGAGCGAGCGAGTTCGGTTGTGAGTCGCATGAGATTACGCTAAACCACAAGATGCTGTGAGTGCCGAGACTCTACATTTCTTGTATTTGTATTGGGTTTCGGATTAGGCTGATATGCCTATACTCCACAGGGTGTTCGAGTAAGGTAGTGAATCGCAAAATATTGCGATGAGCCACAAGATATTGTGAGCACCTATACTCCACACCATTTTGTTTGTAGAGGAATCATAGAATTGTATTTTGCTCCCATGTTATCTACCCCGAGTGTAGGGTATACGGATGAAGTTTGTCATACACGATGTATACTATACGATATCTTTTACAGGATAATTATACTTGTTACGACACCAACTACCCGAGGGTAGTTATGACATGA